ATCGAAAGGAAAAACCAGGGTGGGTTTGACAAAACTGTCCTATCTCTTCAAGCACCGCCCCCCCCCCCCCCCTTGTTATCCCGAGCATCCGCCTTGTTAATCTTATCAATGACCACTTTAGCATCCCCTTCCATCCTCACCTCCGAAAAGCCCAACTCCAGACACCAGACGAGCGCATCCCTGAGAACCAGCAACTCCACCACCATGGGGTCATCAATCAAAGGAAACTGGACACCTTTAACCATAAGGACCTCCCTCGCTGGGCTCATTAGGACCATCCCTCCAGCCGAATGAGAACCCCCTCGCGTGGCCCCATCCCACATACAGATCGCCCTACCGCCCCCCACCGAAGGAGAGAGGAGATTGACTGGCCCCACTGACCCCGTGATGATGGTGGGCCCGAGAAAAGACCAACACACCTCATACTGCTGGTGAAATTGACGCATCAAGGCTAGAATCCCGAACTGCTTTCCCTCAAAGACAACCCAGTTCCGAGACCGCCAGATCCTCCAAAGAATGGCCACCACCTTCATGAACAAGCCTGGGTCATGGACAAGAGCCAACAATCTCTTCAGAAACAGTGAAAAAGTATGCCGAGGCAATCCCTCTCCAAGGTAATCCAAACCCGCATAGTCCCAGAGGGCCCGAGCCACTGGACAGGTCAGAAAGAGATGTTCCAGGGTCTCTGTACCCTCCCAGCAAACCGGACACCGAGGATGGACCTCTACCTTCTTCTCAATGAGAGCCTCCGTAGTTCGTAAAGCACGGTGGAACAGCTGCCACCCAAAGACCTTCAACTTTGGGGGAATATTCGCATTCCACAGCCGAACCCAGCTAGGTTTGTCCATCCAACCAACCACCGATTTCCATCTGCCTTCCCTCCTATCCACTGCAACAGCAAGATGATAAGCAGACTTGACAGAGAAAACCCCATCAACAGTATCATGCCAGATCAATCTATCCTCAACATCCCTCCGTGGCAAAGGGATTGCCTTAATGTCCTGGCAGGTCGGTGGATCAAACCACAAGCTGAGCCGCAAATCATTCCACTTACCCTCACCCGGACACAAGACTTCCTCCACTCGCGGGTCCCCCCCCCCTCTGGTAACACACGAGGATTATAATTAGGGGGGTCCAACTGGAACCTCGGTATCCAATTCGAGTGGAGTAGTGAGGCTGACCGAACATTACCAATCTGCCAACGAAGGCCCTTTTCCAGCAACTGCCGACCAAACAGAATGCTTTGCCACCCCCATGACGGCCGGGATCTAGCAGTCGCTTGCAGAAAGGTTCCTCTGGGGAAGTACTTTCCTTTATAAACCTGGGCTAATAGGGATTGAGGCTCCATCATGATACGCCACCCAATTTTAGCCAACAGGGCTTGATTAAAGTGCTCAAACCGTCTAAACCCCATCCCCCCATCATGCTTACTCCTACACATATTCCGCCAAGACACCCAGCGGATCTTCGATCGGTCCTCCACCACCCCCCACCAGAATCTAGCCACGTGCTTATCCAATAACCGACACAGGGATAAAGGCAATTTAAAGCAGGACATAACATGCAAAGGCAAAGCCAAAGCGATTGATTTAATCAACGTTTCTTTAGCAGCCCATGACAAAGTTCTTTGCTTCCACCCCTGTAACCGCTCAAGCAACTTCTCCTCCAAGTACCGAAAGGTAGCCATTTTAGATCTGGCAATTAGAGTAGGCAAACCTAGGTACTTATCATGAACCCCCACCGCTCCCACCCCCAAAATGGCGGCTAAAAACTCCTGGTCAGGCACCGCAATATTCTTACTAAAGCAGACTGCCGACTTCGCCAGGTTAACCCTTTGACCACTAAGGTCCTCATACTCATTTAAAACTTCAATCAGATTCTCACATTCCTAGAGGGTTCCTCGCAAGAACAAATAAGAATCATCCGCGAAGAACAAATGAGATATCTTAGGAGCCCTAGGAGCCACCTTCACCCCATCCAACCTCTTCTCAGCGATGGCCTTGCGCAGGAGAGCCGCAAACCCTTCCGTGCATAACACAAACAGGAGTGGCGACAACGGATCCCCTGGCGGAGCCCCCTCGAAGAAGTAAAATACCCCGAAGGCGTACCATTCATAAGAACCGAGAAGGAGGCCGAGCGCAGACATTCATATATCCACCCTTGCCAGACCAAACTAAAACCCATCTTATCCAAAACCGCAAGCAGAAAGGCCCATTCAACTCTATCATAGGCCTTTTTCATGTCAACCTTTAGAGCCATGTAGTCTTTCTTGCCTCGCGTTTTTATTTTTAGATAGTGCATTAGTTCATGACCAAGGAGAATATTATCAATTATCTGCCTATCCTTGATGAACGCATTTTGGCCATCCGATATAATCTGAGGGAGGAGGTCAGCCAGTCTCGCAGCCATTATCTTTGTAATGATTTTATAGACAAACTGACAAAGGCTGATTGGACGTAGTTGTTGCATTGTCTCAACATTATCCACTTTCGGGATCAGAGTTAACCAAGTATGGTTGAAGCTGCGCAACAATCGCCCCGTCGCAAAGAAGGAGCAGACTGCCTCAATGACCGAGTCCCCCACAATATCCCAGAAGGCCTTAAAGAACTTTCCAGTGAAGCCATCAGAACCAGGAGCCAGCTTTGAACCCATGGCAAAGACCGTCCTCCGAACCTCCTCTGGCAAAACCTCCGCCGTCAAAACGGTATTCATCTCATTAGTAACACTGCGAGTAATGGGGAGGGCCTCCACCCTATCCCTCATATTAGGGACTTGGGATTCTGAGGCGAAGAGACCCTGGTAAAAGCCAGTAGCAATTGTAGCTTTTCCACTTTCCTCTGTGACCCAGCTCCCAGTCTCATCCCGAAGGCCAGCAACGAAATTCCGTTTTCTACGGGCCCGAGTCACAGTGTGAAAATAGGCTGAGTTTTTGTCTCCTTTTTTAAGCCACTGGACACGAGATTTCTGCTGCCAGTACACCTCTTCCGCTTCCCATTGACGATTAAGCTCAATTTCAAGATCTCTAATGGAATCCCAGTCAACCGGGTGAACCATCTTTAGCCTCTCAATCTCTGCTTGGAGAGTTTTAATGTTTCGCAAAGAATTCGTAGTGCCAGCCCTACTCAAATCATACAATAAATGTCGGAGCTTCTTGAGGCGTTCCCACAGCCGAAACATAGGGGTACCCTGAATCTCCTCCTTCCATACGTAGTTAACCATAGCTCTAACCTCAGGATTCTCGGCCCAGCGGGCGTCAAATCGGAAGAGGGGGCGACTATGGCGAGCATACACCTTGTCCGAGAGGACAAGGGCACGATGGTCCGATCCCTGGTCTGTGAAATGTTTAACCAAAGTTTCCGGGTATCGATCAATCCAGGATTGGGAGCAGAGCGCCCTATCCAACCTCTCCCGAATACAGGCAGCACCCATACGTCTGTTCGACCAAGTGAACATGTCACCCTGGTAACCAGGATCATGAAGACCCAAATCCTGTATGAAATTACGCAGACTAAGTGCTTGGGCGGCATTCCACACCAACTCCCCATCTTTCTCACTCGCCTGGAGAGTAGAGTTGAAATCCCCAATGACCACAAAAGGATGGTGGAAGTGCTCACAAATTTCGCGTAGTTGTGCAAGTTGGGAATCCCGAATGGCTATATTGCAACTAATATAAACAAGGACCACAATATACGAAAAATTAATTTCATTAATTTGAATGCAGATACAGAAACTTGAGTGAAAAACACCGAAGCATCAACTCCGGGGGACCAAGCCGCTACTAAACCGCCAGATGCATCAATCGCATCAACAAAAAAACAATGAGAAAGCTGGAAACCTAACCCCCGCATACGACGAGTCACTACCCTCCGGCTCGATCGCGTCTCCGAGAAGAACACAAGATCCGGTTTATTAGAATGAACCAACTCTATAGCAGTTTGGAATGTGAGTGATGGCCCAATTCCCCTCACATTCCAGGCGAGAAGCCTCATTTATCACCCTGGGGCCACTCCAGGCTGGCTACCTCCACCTTTTCATCACTATCATTAGTCTCCACAAACTGTTTTTTCGGAGTAGGAGGACGACCCCCATCCTCATCCATCATTTCCAACGTTCGCTTCCGGGACCCAGGATTGTGCTCAATTAAATTTGAACCATACTCATCTAGGGTGGCCAGAACCTCCCCGCACACCTCCTGATTATTACCTTTAGCCTCAGTAGGGATTGAAACACATGCCCCCAGCTCAGGACCATCCTTCACAGTCGGATCAGGAATCAAGTCCCCTTCAAAAGCCGCAACCAATTTTCCAACCCGACCCGGTTTAGTTGGCTAGGTCCTCCGGGGGTTGGGGATTGGCGACCTCCTCCTGATAACAAACGCGTCCTCTGCCGCAGGGGAAGAATCAGCATCCGAGCCCGGGGCCACTTCCTGTGGGCCAAGCCCAGTGTCCACAAGCTCCGCCTCTTGCAGGCCCAAAGGCTCACCTCCCTCCACTGTGGCAACTACTTGGGCCCCCATCTTTCGCAATCGACGGCTTGTACGGCGGGGAGCTGCTGTGTCCACGATACGGACTCCCTCCACCTTGCCTTGTCCCACTTCTCC